GAAAGAGAACAGGACTGCTATTTGCAAAGGTGTCTCATCACCTTCTGGTAGAACCTCTCCCTTTTAGATTAGTTTTTAAATAAAGGATTAACTAATTTTTAGGTAATGAACTGGAGATAAATTGATAGTTGATTTTGAATGAGGACCAATGTTTCATTTCTTTGAGCTCTGGATTAGACAGGGAGGAAAAAGAAAGAAAGGAACTGAGGATTCACTCATGTTTTAAGATGAAGTCTGGGGAGGCTGTGCTTCTATACGTTGTTCAGTTGAACTGTAAATTATTTTTCATTTATATTCTCGTCTTGTTACTGGTTGCACCAGTTGTGTATGTGCTGTATATGGAAAAATAGAAGCAATAAAATACTTTAGAGTCAGTCTCTTTAAACCTTTAGGGTTCTAAATGGATTTTAATAGGGACTTAGGGCAAGATTGGTTATTTTTTCAAGTTACTTAATATGAAACAGGACTGGAAAGGAATTTCCCAGTTGTCAGTTAAGTATCTTCCTTTACACATAAAGAGTTATTTCACAAGACTTTCCAAAGCCTGGCCATCCTTTTCTTTTGATTTTTCTTCACTTGAAAAGAAGAAATTGCATTATTTGGGATATTTTAATTTTTCTCCTGAGGCTGTTGATAAAACTTTCAATACAGAGATTATTTTTTCCTTTTAAATTTGTTAAGAATCCAGCTTACTCAAGTGTCAGTGAAATAATTATTTTTATGCTATTTATCAGAAAATTTCAGAGCAATTTATTTATAAAATAATTAAACTCCATCTTACAGACTAGTCTGATACATGGTGAATTTATGCACCTGATGCTTTGAAAATCTTGTTTCTAAAAAATTTTACCGATTTCTTCATTCTATAAATTTGGTTAAAATGTTAGTTCAATTGTTGATTGAAAAAGAGGAAAACAAACAGAAATTTCCTACTTTGTTCATGTTTTCAGTTGTTTTACTTGTTAGATGTAAGCATTTAAAAGTGGGAACTTCGCTTAATTGAAGGCTCTGTATGTTTTTTTGTTAATATACTACAGTTGACAATTCCATATAAATGTGATGAAATGAAGATTTGAGATGTCTTCTGAGAGTACTAGGATTTTGCTTTATTTTTGTTGCAGACAAGTGGGTTAAAATTTTTTTTTTGCTCATGACAATTCAGGTGACAGTGAAAAACATCACAGATGTGTTTTTAATTTATAAAGCCCATACTCATTAAGTATGGGCTTTTAGGTTATATTCGTACCTATTTCGACTGTTCAGAAGGCTCTTGTTAGCTGTTGGTAGTGATGAAGGACTTGATCTCTGCATGTGAAAGAAAGAACTTGTTTTTGAAGTTTTGTTTTTTTTTTTTCTTTTTTGTGTATTACTAAAATCCTAGCACTACAAAGAAGGATGGCATTAATGTATTTTATTTCCTGATGTGATCAGAAAAAAATTTAAACAGCCAAAAAGTTCAAATAACAAAAAATTATAATAAACTAGGTAAGTTTACTTAAGCTGTCTCATCTGCTCCAGTCTCAGTTAATCTTGTTTGCCATAAACCCACATATGCTGTATTTTTATAGTTGGGTAGTGATAGTTCCCTTAACTTTACCTATTACATTTTTGTGCCATGTGTTAGGTAAAAGTTTCACATTATGATTGATAGATTAAAATCTCTTTTAAAAGTGATTTTTAATATTATTTTTTTTTCCCCCTGATGATGCGTGTTTGGAGGGGAGTGATCTGTGAAGTCAGCACAGGCCTGGCATGAAACCTAGCACTGAAGCATGCTGATGTTTCCTGTTTTTGGTGTATCAGGCCTGGCACATAATAAAAACTGAATTTTATGTAATCTAGAGTTCAGTCTTTGAGGGCTTTGGCAACTCGACTGGCTGATGGGAAATCCTTGTTTAAAAGGCACTTGTTTAAAAAAGCAATGTGAAGAACAGAGATGATCCAGTGTTGTCATTGCTTCTCTATCTTATAAACAGTTTTTACTTTAAGTATTGGAAAGAAAATTGAGACAAGATCTGTCCGGTACATTGGTCAAGTTCAAGGGCTGCAGGGCATCCTGCAGTGTGCCAGGCTGTGTGCCTGCTGCCACACAAGCCCAAGAGCTGTGTTTGCAGGGTGGCAGGGAGAGGGACAGAGTGGCTGCCTGGGGGGGCAGAGCGGAGGAGCTGGGGGATGAGACAGGGTTGCCTCACAGTTGGATTGCAGCCAGGATTCACAGCTGGGGAAGAAGTAAGTAGGGTGAACGCATTGCCCTTTGTGCTGATTTCCTCTCTTTATAGCCCAAAATAGCCTGACTCAGAAAAATCCCTGAATTAGAAATTATGGAAACAACAAGAAGGAAGTTGCGGCGTTGCTAAGTGTTTGCTCTGATTTTCTGTTCCCCCTCTCACGCATTGGTGGTGGCTGAAGGAGGCCAGGTGGGCCAGTGGTGTGATCTAGGGTGCTCATCTTGTGTTCATCCAACAAAAAGAGCTGAGTTTGTGCCTCTTCCTGCTCTTTGCAATGACACCTGACAGACACTAGGTAACGGGGCAAAGGCCTTTTTCCCGGCAAAGGCCTTTTTCCCAACAAAGACC